TGATCCCTAAACTTTTATACCTTCCTACTTGTGCTGATTTAGGGGACTGTACAATGTGTGAAAGGAAATTTACGTGCCCCCCCCTTTGATATTTTAGGGAAGAGTCTACAGGGTGTTCAGGGTCTCAATACTAGATTCAACTGACTGGTCAGTAGTGACCTGCCTGTTTACAGTCTCCCAAGAGCTGGGATTACAGGTGCTCTCCCCACCACGCCCAGTCTCAATGTGCCCTGGGGGCAAGGCCACCAAGGCAGTCCCTGGGATCCAACCCTAGTCCCTGGGCCTGCACCTGCTTGCAGGTGCTATAATCCGCTGAGCTATTTGGCTGGCTCTTGGCAACTTGCCTTTGAAAAAGTTACAGAGACTCACTGAGGAAAAACAGCACTATTTATAATTTCAACTTAGACTGTGGCTCCTAATCCCAGCACTCTGGGAGGTAAAAGTAGGAGGATCACCAAGGTTGAGTTCAGCCAGAGCAACTTTAAGACACTGTCTTAAAAAAGGGTTGGCAACTTAGCTCAGTATGAAAAACCACCTTGGGTTTCTGGAGATAGGGGCATGCTGTAACATTCAGGCTGGCCTTAAATTCAGATCCTCCTGCCTTAGCCTCTCAGTGGTAGGATTTCAGGTGTATACTATCAGGCCTGGCTCTTAGATTATTGGAGTAATGAAAAAGTTACCAACACAAGAATGATTTGAGGTACTCTGGAAACTCTCAAGAAGTGAAATGACCTTCAACTGGTCACATTTCTTTTCTTTTTTAAACAAATGTATTTAGTACAGGGTCTACAGGGTCTCACTACACAGATAGGACTCCTAGTGATTCTCCTGTTTTCACCCTCCTAAGTGCTGGGATTACAGGTGGGTGCTACCACGCCCAGGCTCAGTTGCTGTCTCAGCACACACAGCAAACCAGGGGCTCCAGGGATCAAACACCAGTCCTTGAGCCTGCCTAAGCAGGCCCTTGGTCACATTTCTAAGGCTGACTCACCGACAGAATTTCTTTGCTGGCTCCTCTGAGGAGGATGGTGCAGGCCTTGGGGTCTTTGCACTCAGTGATGAATGTAAAGTACTCGTCTCCAATTTTCTTGATTTCCAGCAGGCCTGCTCCTGTCCCAACATCATCTTCTCTCAGCTCTTCTGGTCGGCTAACTATACGGGCCCCACAGGCTCTAGTGGGTGGAGGAAGTGGGGAGATTTCAGACCCCTAGTCTATGGTCGGAGGCTGTGGATGATTAAGGTTAAAGTAGACTGCTAGAAAAATCACTTGACATACCCTGGATGCCTGTTGGAGAAGATTTCAAACATACACAGGCCAAATTTCCTTAAATTAATAGACTTTTTGTTGTCTTTTAAATTTTCTAATTTTTTTTTTTTTTTTACATTTATTTATTATGTGTGTGTGTGGCCAGCTCAGCCTACCTGGGGGCGGGGCTGGCTGGCATGTGGTGCTAGAGGATCGAATCGCGGTCCCTGTGCTTTGCCAAGCTTGTTCTAAGTAGGTGCTTTACACCACTGAGCCATCTCTCCAGCCCCTGTTGTCTTTTAGAGATAGGGTCTGGCTATACAGCTCAGGCTGACCTTGAGTTCACTTTGTAGCCTAGGCTGGTATTTTTCTTTTTTTTTTAAAAAAATGTATTTAGTATAGGGTCTCACTACACAGATTGGACTCATAGTGATCCTTCTTGTTTTTCAGCCTCCCAAGTGCTGAGATTACAGGCATGAGGCACCACCTCCAGTTCCAACTGCCTCTCAGCATGCCCCAGGGGCAGGGCCAGCACACCGGGGATCAAAACCTGGTCCCTGTGTCTGCCTAAGCAGGCACTTTAATCCCCTGAGCTATCCGGCTGGTCCCTAGACTGGTCTTGAACTCACAATAATCTTCCTGCCTCAGCCTTCAGAGTGCTGAGATTATAGCACCATCATGCCTGGCTAATAAAGTTTTATTAAGCTGCACACCCAAGGCAACTAGTCCTCAATATCATAACCATATACTGATGAATTCAAAGTATTCTTTGTAGTCACTAATACTTGGACAAAAGAATTCTCTTAAGTATCTAATGCATACACAAGACAGGATGGCTATTTCTAGATATAGCCCATCTTGTCTTACCTAATTAGGTCTTGAAGCTAATAACGGGAAGGTGATTAAGTATGTATGGCTATTAGACTCATTTTTATTATTTATTTATTGGTACTAAATAAATTGGGATTGAACTCAGAAAGCTTGTGCTTGCCAGGCAAGCATTTATTCCATGAGCTCTCTCCCCAGCCCCGTAGACTCAATTTTAATGGGACCGATTTGTCACTGCTTTCCCTAATCCATGGATAGTATAGACATACCTGCCTACAACCATTTCAGGGCATGTGAACAACCTGAATCTGTGACAGACATTAAGTACAGTAGGCTGTATGGGGGTGAGGGTGCTGCTAAGAGGGTGTTGCTATACAGTGCAGGCTGGCCTTGAAGTTGCTTATGTAGCCCTGGCTGGCCCCTAACTTAAGAGATCTTGTCTCAGACTCCTCAGCTCTGAGAGTACAGGTGTGTGCTACCAAGCCCAGTTTAGTTTGAATGGCACATCTTTAGGACACTGGGCAGGTGGCTTGAAGAGGACAGTGGAACCCTGCCCCTTTCCTCTGCCACTTATGGCCATGGCACAAGTGATTTTATAGCATCACGTGCTCCACCATGATGTGCTGCTTTGATACAGGCCAAAAGCAATGGAGCCAACTGATCAGACTGGCTCCAAAATCCGAGTCAGGTTAGGCATGGTGGCACGTGCCTGTAACCCAAGCACTCAAGAAGCTGAGACTGGAGGATTGCCACAAGTTCAAGGCCAACCTGGGCTACACAGTGAGTTCAAGGCCAGCTGCACTATGTAGCAAGACCACATCTCAATCAATCAATCAATCAGTCAATGGACAAAATAAGTCTGAGTCAAGACTTTTCTCTTTGTAAGTTGATCCCTAGTATTTGTTAATAGTGACATACACATAAAAACTAATGTGGTAGGGCATATTTACTTTTATATAAATTAGTACTAAAAATGTGTGGTATTTGAATATAGACATCAGTGCAAACATAAATGCAGTCTAAAGCTGCATAAATAACAGTCAGAGTTTGAGTCAAGGAACTGATGATTGTGCTCTTCTGAAACAGTTAAAACATACTCCTCTAGAAACATTCATTCAGCAGTACCAGGAGGACAGTTAACAACAGTCTTTGACATGACGAGCTAGTATTTAGAAACGTGTTGGGACATTTACCACGGTAGTAATTATACACCCCTAAGTACAACCTGCTCACTAATGGTCAGGGCCAGCATTGAAGAACTGAAAATGGCTAATTGCTGCATTACAAGCTACAGAAAAGGACAGACACCTATCCTCAGCTCATTTTACCTGTTATTGTATTCTCAGATAATGACTACATTATACAGTTACAAAAAAAAGGAAATACATGGGAAGGAAGAATATCATTTCTATCCGGCCTACTCACCTAGCAATCCTATTATTGTCTGTTTTCCGAACTCTACGGATGGCTGTGATGTTGGCCCGCAAGAGGTAGTGTTGAGCCAAATCTGTAAATCCAAGAACAGAGATGTCAAGCTGGTTGCTGGACTCCTGGGTTCTGAACTGGCTTTGTTCTAAGTAGTCCATCATACTTTTATTAGATTAGAAAATGAATGTAATGCTACCTGAAATACCCTTTTCTGTGATGACCACGTCAGGCTTCAACTGGATGATGTCCTCACAGAGCTGCTGAATGTACTCTTCTTCCATCTGTAGGACTCGGGCAAAGTCTTCCTCTCGTGTAATCTCAATGTCAGTCTGTGAGGAAGAAAAGGCAATAATTTATAAAAATCTCTTGCCAGGCGTAATGGCACATGCTCATAATACCAGCACTTGGAAGCCTGAGGCAGGAGGATTATCTGTTGAAGGCTAGGCTGGGGCTAGCTACACAGTGAGTTTAAGGCCAGCCTGAACTACTCAACTAGAACAATCAATCCATTCCTGGACTGGTGAAGCTCACGAGGGTCACCCCAATGACTATACTCCTTCCTCCCTGGGCCTCTCTGATATACCCCAGAAAATATAAAATACAATGTTAAAGCTGTGAGCCAGACATTGTAGTGCACACTTATAATCCCAGTATTCATGAGGCCAAAGCAGGAGGGTCTCCACAAGGTCAAGGCCAGTCTAGGCTACATAGTTAGGTTTATGTTATCAGGAACAGTACAGCGAGATCCTTTCTCATAAAAACCAAAGTCAGGGTCAGCCAAATAGCTCAGTGGATTAAAGCACCTGCAAGCAGGCGCAGGAGCTGGGGATTCGATCCCTCGGCCTGCTATGCCAGCCCCGCCCCCAGGGCACACTGTGATGGCAACTGAGACTGGGCGTGGTGGTGTGCACCTGTAATCCCAGCTCTTGGGAGGCTGTAAACAGGCAGATCACTAGGAGTCTGATCTAGTAGTGAGACCCTGAACACTTATCCTGTAGACCCTTCCCTAAAATACAAAGACGAATGAACAAACAAAAAAAAAACAACCAAAACCCACTGAAACTATTTTCAAGGAATACTGTCACAACTGTCACATAGCAGGCACACGGTAAACATACCTTTTACTTTCTTTGTCCTATTAGCAATCAGGTTCAGCTTTAAAGAACAGGGCCAAGAACCTTACCTGGCTTTCTCCTTTCTTGTATTCCAAAGACGAATCCAGCAGTATAATTCGAGGGTTTTTTATATGACGCCTCATTCGTGAATGGGTCACATCCTTGTTAATCATGACGCCACGCAGGACACACGAGTCTTCAATGATGCCCCCAGGTATCTGAGGAAAAGAATCCACAAGCAAGAGGAGATTAACTTCTCAATTCCATTCCAAGTTTTTTTCCCCCTCAAACTACCACCACTTTTAAGTGTCTAAGGTACCTTTTTACTTTTGTTGTTTTGTATTTTAGGGAAGGGTCTACAGGGTCTCAATAACAGATTGGACTCATAGTGATCTGCCTGTTTACAGCCTCCCAAGAGCTGGGATTACAGAGAACAGTCACTTGATTTTTTTTATTTTTTGGCAGAACGGGGGATTGAACTCAGGCTCTTGCGCTTGGCAGGCATGTGCTTATTCTGCTAAGCCATCTCCCTGGCCCCAAAGGATTACAGGTAAGGTAACTTTTTCTTATAAAGTCCCAATTAAAACAACTGTAAAAGACATGGGTCTCTCTTAAAAGATATTACCATAGTGCCTTTAGGATTGAGCTCCATCTACTGGACAAAGCTAATACCTTCTGGTTTTTTTTTTTCTTTTTTCCTTCAAATTTAGTAGAGACAAGACAAAGTACAGGCTTATCATCACTTTTTTTTTTTTTTTTCTTGTGGAACCAAGGATTGAACTCAGACCCTTGTGCTTGCCAGGGAAGCGCTAATTCTACTGAGCCACCTCCCCAGTCCCATCACTTGTTAATATAGTTACATATACAAATGCAAACAAGGAGATTATCAATAAGACTTTCCCTTGTCCTTGTAAATCTTTTGGCATAGGGACAATAGCAAGAACACAAAACTTATTTCAGGGATTCTTCCTTGATAGCCTCTTTTATTTTTATTTTTTTTCAGAACCAGGGATCGAATTCAGGCCCTTGCGCTTGCCAAGCAAGCACTTATTCTACTGAGCTATCTCCCCAGCCCCTAAAAAAAAAAGAAAAAATTTAATTATTTATTTTTTGGGGCCAGGGAGATAGCTCAGCAGACTAAAATGCCTGCTTAGGCAAATGCAGGGACCGCGTTTGATCCCAGTACCACATGCCGTGCCAGCCCCAACCCCAAGGGAGGCTGAGCTTGTCACAGTCCAGATGTAGTGGTACACATCTATAATCTCAGTGCTGAGGAGGCTGATAGCAGGAGGATCACCTCGAGTCTGGGCTGCGTAGCAAGACCCTGTAACAACCAAATACGTTAAAAAAAAAAAAAAAAAAAAAAATTAAAGATTTATTTGGTATAGAGCCTCGCTATGCAGCTCGGGCTACCATAGCATGCAGTACTGGGGATCAAACCTGGGTCCTTTGCTTGCCAGGCAGGTGCTTAGATCACTGAGCTATCTTTCCAGCCCCCTTGATAGCTTCTTTTCAGGCTGCAAGTATATCTTTCTTCCTGGTTTTAACTACAGATATCTGGCTCTGATTTAAAAGTAGTTCCTACACAAGTGGGATAATTTATGCCCAGAAATAATTTGTGAAGCACATACTGGAAGAGTTTTACCTTTTCCACTTTTGCATATTTCTTGATGTCAATTTCTTTCCGACCATTTTCCTCCAATTGTACAGTCTTGACAGCATCCAGGGCAATATTACAAGCCAAAGAAGACCACCGACTGATTACTTTGGTAGTAATGGAGCTATTGATGATATTTAGCATCATATCACGGTTATTGATGTCAACAGGGGTGCTGGAGAAAAGCAAGGCGGGTAATACGGTTAGTGGACAATTTACATATTTGAAGTGATACTTCTTGGCTCACTTCTTGCTTCTTTGCAGAAAACCTGAAAGGGAGATAAACAGTCAATGTTATCTATCCTCTGGCTTTTCAATAAGATAATTAACCCTGCTAGGTGCAGTAGTACAGGCTTAGAGTAACAGCACTTGAGAGGCTAATGCAGGAGGTTTGCTGTGAGTTCAAGATCAGCCTGTGCTACAAAGTAAGTTCAAGGCCAGTATGAACTGCACAGTGAAATCCTGTCTCAAAAAGACAAACAAACAGCCCAGGCAACTCAGTGACTTTAGTAAGACTCTGTTTCACAATAAAAAAGGACTGGAAACAACCCAACACAAAGACAGTGGGTTCAATTCCTGGTACCACAAAGGAAAAAATGATTACAACTCATTCCTAGAAGGTGTTATAGTTTTGGAAGCAATCTATTCCTGTGTCTGATAACTCTATATACATACAAAGCTTACAACAAAAAAGATTTCTTCCTTACCTCCTGCTTCAACCAAATAAACTCTTCGCTGTTTATAACTTGTATCAATGAAGCCTTTGCCTACACAGAACTGCCTTTTGATTAAACCACCAGTTTTACTCTTTCCAAATACTACACTGTTGGGGCTGGGGAGATAGCTCAGTAGAGTTAAGTGTTTGCCTGGCAAGCGCAAGGGCCTGAGTTCAATCCCTGGTTCCGCAAACAAAACAAAACAAAACCAAAAAACCCCTACTACATTGTCTTCTACCCAGCACCCTAAATCATGGTATATCAGTGGTTACTTACTGCTTTTGTATCAGCCTAGTCTCTCCTCACAAGATTATAAATTTGCACATGTCAAGACTACCTGAAGGGGCCGGGGAGATGGCTCAGTGAAATAAGTGCTTCCCTGGCAAGCACAAGGGCCT